ACTCTACGCGTGCCAGGTCACAAGTGAGAGGTGTCGGATGCTACAGACGTGAATGTGGTGCCACACTAAATAGCCATTTCGGAATAGCCCTCGGTCAGAAGTGGAAGCAAGGTGTTCTATCGTCTGACAACCTTGCAAGCAGTTACTGCCAGCTCGCTTTAGTATTGAAGCGCGTTTATTTGACTTCGTTTTGTGTTAAGCGCCTGATCGGCCCCACTCGCTTTCCCCCCCCCGCTCCCCTCTATCTCAGTAACCTGTCCTGAGAATGAGAGTGGCTGAGGCTATGTGGCGTTGCTCTCTAACGCATACAGCACAACTGATGGACTCTAATGCAGACCAGAAAATTCATATTAAAGATTAATTGAAGCCTGACCCTCATTGCATGGGAAGGCTGTCAACTAACAACTTTCAAAGTCACGACTTACTAGGTTCAAGCGACTCAGACTGGTTTAAATGTAGACTGCACCGATGTGCTATGGGGGCAGGTACTTCGGTATCGACCCCATTCCCACTGCCCTCCTGCATTCATCAATGGCGTACCCGAGCCTGGGGCCCATTGATTATGAGACTGGGTGTGATGACTGAAGTGTCGTTAGCTTAGCATAGTAATTGTTTAGATTAACTGTCGGCACCACCGACAATTCTTAAAACAGTTTAATAAAAGTTAGAGCTTTTGAGAATGCATCAAGCCAGGCATAAATACTGTATGTCTGTCTTGCCTCAGCTTAATGCAGTTGCTCCTTTTGAGCTACAGAATATACTCTCAGAGTAATTTTTGTGCGTCAATAAAGTAACACTGGGGTTTGGCTTTTATCACGAAACGTTGCCCAGGTAACGCTGTAGTTTTGTAGGTTTTTATGAGATGCCAGTTGTTTCTTACCTTGGCAAAGGTAGTTTAATTAATGCACCTCATATACTCATAGTTCCAGCATTTTTTCCTATGGAAATGGTGGTTATAGGGGTTTCGAAGGTGGGGAAATAGGATAGGCAGTGAAGAATATTTGTAGAAGTGCAAAGTGGAAAGATGTAGTTGAATTTGTTTCCCGCAGCCGCTAGGAGTAAGTTGTTCCGCATGTAAATTGAAGGTGTGCGCGGGCTTTGCGCCGAAAAATATACTAATCTAACTCCAGAACGGTAAGTTAGACCTCAGGTAAGCTGAAGTAGATGACCTCCTAACCAACATTTCTATTTTCTCAGGGATTTCAAAAAACCTGCATTTTTATAGTCGGGTTTTTCCGCAATACGTAAAACGATTATACAGATTAGGAAAATCTACAGATATAAATCGACAACATTTCTAAATACAATGAAATAAGAATGCATATAGCAGTTATTAAAGTATATTCCCACCCATAAAACCCCTATAACCCCCCTTCCGTAGGAAAAAAAAAATGCTAGTATAGGGGCATATGAGGTGCACTACTTAAACTACTATTGTCTTTACCTTGATTGGTAGCCTACTGTCTTTAGACTTCTTCACAGAAGAGAACTCCCCGTGGATTTTAAGTGCTACTTTTACAGATGTAAAACGGCTTAAGTCATTAAAGTGTCTTTGCCCTTTTTCTGCAGTTACGGACCGAACGTATGCGTTCAATTTGAGGACATGGCAAATCACAACGGCTTCCGGTTCCTTGAGCGGTATCGGAAGGACTATGTCGTCTTTAATGATGACATCCAAGGTAGTTGTATTTTAATCAATGCCACTGAGCAATTGTTTTCTCGGAACGCCTCAGCCTGTTTTGAACACCAAGAAGAAAAACTGTATATATTTTTGTGTGAAGCTAGATTGTCCGTTAGGCAGATACGCTTTTAGAAAACCTACCTGGAGTGTGAACTTGACTGAAACCAGAGGTAGACATGTTTGCGTGCGTCTGTGTATGTGAGGACGCACCAGCTGCCCTCCACTTGATCTTTAATTTGGTTGGTTGGTAACTGCTACGTTGTACACTGCACAACAGTGCTTTTTACCCCGCACGCAGTGTTTCGCGACTGTTCACGCAGTTCCATCTGAAGAAAATTGAAAAAAA